ATCCCGATTTCATCGGGATAATCCCGATTTCGCACATTTTGCGCAGCGTCCCGACTAGGGTATCGTCGGGACCATAGAACATCCCGATCAAATTTTACAATATTACAAATTATTTATTTGATAATATACAACAGTTTTGTTATTCAAGCATTCAATCTACATTTCATCAAAAAATATTAATTATTATTTAGTATTATTAATTCTGTTTACTATTTTTTCTTAAGTAAATTTTCATATGTAAAAATCGGGATATAACACTTTATGACTGATTAGTCCAACACATTAGTCATAAAGTGGTATAATGACACAATATTGAACTACACTACACAAATACACGTATCCCGAAAAATATCCCGATATCATATATAAAATATCCCGAAATATCCCGAAATTTAGAGCAATTTTTTACTTAAAATCCCGATTTTTCAAGTTTTGAGTTGGTCACTCTAGTGGGAAGGGGGAGGCATCCGTAATAAATACACAAATAATCTAGGCCTTATATAACAAATACAATTGGAGTATTTAAGCTCATAGTACGAAAAGTGTACCTTATCAAGGTAAATGTAACACCAATATTCCTATAGTAAACCGTACCTAAAAATCACTATCTCTTTTCCGTGAGATTTAAAGCACATTTAGTTTTACATAACTATTATTAGAAAAAATTAATTTCAATATAAATAGCTATTGTTTTTATGTAAAAAAACATTTCACTGAATCAAGTAATGAAAGTCTGTTTAACGTTTTGTTTTGCATTTGCAGTGCATTTTGGCGGCCAATGTGTGGCCAGAAAGCCGACAAACTACGAGTACTACACCGCGGGTGGCATCGCGTCGAGACTGAGGGCCGACTCCGAGCACTTCACACTCAACGGCAAACAAATCACTTTATTTAGCGTTTCTTTGCATTACTTTCGGTTACCGCACGAGTATTGGAAGGACAGGCTATTGAGGTTCAGAGCCGCAGGACTTAACACCGTATGTAAACATTCTGTCAATACAATTAATGTATACTAAAATAGTGGTAAAATAAGATATTAAATAGAGATACAAAGTTTTTACATGTATTGTAATTATAGTAAATTAATTTAGTCTTAGATTTTTAGTTTTTAGAATTTATTAAAGTTATTGCAAAAGTATTAATAATGTTAAGCTCATTACACCGAGTTAATTTATTTATATCCATATTAACCAGGTACAAACGTACGTGGCCTGGAACATACACGAGGACACACCGGGTCAGTGGGACTTCGAGACCGGTTTCCGTAATGTGCGGGCATTCCTACAGGCGGTCAAAGACGCCGATATGTTTGTGTGGTTCCGAATCGGGCCATACATTGACGCCGAGTGGGAATTGGGAGGATTCCCCGCGTGGCTCATACGCGACCCACACATGCGGCTCAACACTAACTTGATTGTAAAATATATAATAATTAATGGTGAATTAGTTTTAAAAAGTTCTACCATGTATAATTAGTGTAAATAATACAATTAAATAGCTTAATTTTAATTTATAAACTATGTTAATTTTTCCCCCATAGTAAGTAAAAAAAACATGTAAATTACGTGGCTTAAAAAAATCCTTGTAATTTACCAACCTTTGATCACACCCTATGGTTTAAAGTGTTCGCTGTATGAAACATTGATATACTGTCTACCAAATTGTTTGTTGTACACGTTTACCACGTTTAATGCATTCAAAATAGCCCTGTGGCAATTGAACTACTTTAAAATTAATTCAATCAAGATTTAGTCGACAAACATTTTGAAAATCAATGAAAACATTAAAAATATCTTTTTCTGTATTAACTGAAACACTGAATTGATTTTAAATATAACCAAACTTTTTATACTTTTATACAAATATACTGTATATCCATTGAAATGGTATAGAAATATAAACGCTGTTGACTACCGGGTGGACTGCACTTTACCCATAGTTCCTAATGCGCTATTGATCAGCGCCACCAACTGAACCAACCTCCTTTTCGAGCCGGACGGGCATTGGCAGCGTGTCTAGTGTTTGGTCGACTTACTCGTCCAGTAGGTGCCACAGCCCGTGCGGTGGGCGCGACAGCCCGTGCGGTGGGCGCGACAGCCCGTGCGGTGGGAGCGACAGGTGTTTTGCGCTGGTGATGGCGATCACACCATGGGCAAACCCAGTGGTCTGGCAGCCGGTTGGCCCACCTCTCTACGGCACGGTCAGACAGGGGGGCTGTGTTGGGCAGTGGCGGCCCGGCCCTCCTGTCAGCCACACACCTGAGTCCGTTTTTAGTCCGATGGGCTCGATCTCGTGCAAGTGTGGGCGGGATGCGGGGGTTTGTCACTTTGGCTTTGCGGTCCTGTGGAGCGAGTTTGGCCATTTGGTGCCGAATCTCACTAAACACTTCTTGACCGAGTTCTGGTTCCGTGAGCTCATCTACCGAGTGCCACGGGGGCCGCTCAGACCGTCCCAACTCGAACGGTCCCCGAGTCCAGCCTCGCTGTAAACCCCAGTCCCAGACGCGCCCGCCATCTATTATTGAAAAGGAAGTTTCACGGAGTGGACCGGGCGTGTAGTGTACGGACTCAGTAGGTGTTGTAGTAGCGGTGGTATTGGTGGGACGACCGCCGCCCAATAGACGCCGAGTGGTGGGCGCGCCCTCATCGGTGTGTCTCCACCGGTCATCAACTGTGACCGGTGCTCCCCATTTCGCGTCGTCGTTACTACAGCTGTCAATTTGAATGTGTTTGGGCTGTTTTGCCGAACCCCCACCGCCCCGTCCGGTGGCTTTTCTCTTACCGTTGCCGCGGGATAGAGGGGTCGGTTTAGTAACCGGTGCCGTATGCCGAGCGGCGTCTAACGTGTCGATCACGAGCTTCACCATACAGTCGAGGCAATGGATCCACTGCTCGTACACATACTTTACTGGCCGCCTCCCACTCATCTGTCAAATAGCGCGCGTACTCATCGCACATATCGAGGAACCGTTGCTTTTGGCCGGGAGTGACTGTGCCGTAGTCTATGTGCTCTGTGCGCTCCCACGCGGGCTGAGCGCCGGCAATCAGTGCCATCACATCGCGTCCGGTGTGAGTGTCGATCACCTGTTGCTCATTCAGGCCGTGGTCTTCGGTGATAATTGCCAGATAATGACGCCGTTGCTCAAACATCACGTTCAACATGTGTGCCCATTCCGGCTGATGGCCGTGCGCTTCAAACGTGGTTAAACAGTTGCGCACCGTATCGACGTACGCGGCGATCCGTTGGGCGAGTAGTCCGCCCTCACGCCGGGCGTCCACCGCCGACTGCCAATAGCGCCGGTACTGAAGAGTATACGCCTCGCGGTATAGCGCCAGATACAGGTCACGTCGGGGCCCGGGCTCGAGTTGGGTCGGCCTGAAGCCGTACATGGTCACCCACCAGTGTATGAGCGCCTGATTCTGTGTGGACATTGTGTCGACGTGTAGAACTCTACCGATTGATACTTCTATAGGAGCCATGTCTTCATACTCCAGTTGGTCGGCCGTCCAGGGGATGAGACCCTTACCGGCGCACAGCTCATCGTAAGTGGGCAGCTCATGCACCTCCTCATCCGATGATGACATATTTGGTGTTTAGATGAGTTACCTGTGCCTTAGATTTGTGTTGTAAATTACTAGACGGATATGTACTTTGAAATAATCAGTTTTAATTATTGTAGTTTTAAATTTTTATTTTGTTTTATTTTATTTTTCTTAATCAATTGTGAAATTTTAATTTGTGTTAAAATTATTGGCAATTATTTGTTTGAACATGGTGCCCAGTTGTGGCGGCTCATGTATTGACAATTCTATAACAATAATTAGGTCAATGTTTTATTATAACATTATTTTGGTAATTGTTTTGTATTAATCCCATCCATGGATCCGCACTCGGAGTCCAGACGATAGCACCTGAAAACAGTATAGACGCAAATTACAAATAAAACTATTGTTAAAATTGCTTGATTATCATTATGTTAATTATTTGTAGTGATAATATTCTTATACCATTTACGCATTCAATTACTATCATGATAAATTCATTATTAAAGTAAATTCAATTATGATTTGTTAAATAAACATTCAGTAAATAACTTTCTGTGTAATTACTAAAACACTGAATTGATTTTAAACATAATTAACTTTTTATACTTTTATACAAATATACTGTATATCCATTGAAATGGTATATAAATATAAACGCCGTTGACTACCGGGTGGACTGCACTTTACCCATAGCTCCAACTGCGCTACTGATTGCCCGGTGGACGCCAGGTATACATCGCGATAAACATATAGTACACGCGTTGGCACTGATAGCGCAAGTACTCCATAGGCACCGGCGCTAACTGACCGGTCCTTCGGTAGTGCGCTGACCTGAGACCTCCTTCGCCGGTCACCAACAGGAATAGCTGCCAATACAGGTCGTATAGGGCCAGGTATAGTGCTTGTCGAGTGGCCGCATTAGCCAACTGTTCTGGGGTATAGTCGTCCACTCCGGGCAGCGGAGGCTCGCGGTGAGTTTCCAGCAATTGGTTAGCAAACTGTGTATGTGTCGGCACGTCTGGCGACCGGACGGCCGCAGGTTTTGTTTGTGTCACCAAATGTTTCAACTCTTTGGCCGGGAGGTACCGCAATGGGCGCGCTATACGAGTGCCCAAATGGCCCCACTCTCCCTCTTCGGTGGGCGGTATCTGTTCGGCGTCGGTAGTGACGGTCACTGGCGGGCGAAATGTGGACTTCGGCACCGGTCCCCTAATACCGTATTTCGGTGGCGAACCAGATTGCTTACGGCCTACTATTGGTTTATAGTCATATATGGGCGCAGGTTTGGGGGTATCGGTGTCGGTGCTCATAGTGATGGGGGTGGGTTTCGGCCACGGTTTACGAATTGTGGCAGCGGTCGTATCACCAATTTGTTGCGACTGTCGGCTAGTGGTGGGCGCGCCCTCACCTGTGGGTCTCTTATGGCCAACCGCTTCCTTTGGTGCCTCCCATCTCTTATCGTTGTTGTCGTCGTCACTACTGCTGTCAATTTGAATGGGTTTAGTATGTTTTGGCGAACCCCCACCGCCCGGTCCGGTGGCCTTTCTCTTACCGGCGCCGCGGGATAGAGTGGTCGGTTCAGTAGCCGGAGCCGTACGCTGAGCGGCGTCTAATCTGTCGATCACGAGCTGCACCAGACTGTCGAGGCAATTGATCCACTGGTCGTAAACATACGTTTCAGCCGCCGTGCGTCTCCCTCTCCGCCTCCAGATAGCGGACGTACTCATCGCACACATCGATGAACCGTTGCCTTTGGTGGGAAGTGATTGTGCCGTAGTCTATGTCCATTGTGCGCGTCCACGTGGGCTGAGCGCCGGCAATCAGTGCCATCACATCGCGTCCGGTGTGAGTGTGGATCACCTGTTGCTCATTCAAGCCGTGGTGTTCAGTGATAATTGCCAAATCATTGCGCCGTTGCTCAAACAATCCGTCCAACATGTCGGCCGATCCTGGCTGATGGCCGTGCGCTTCAAACATGGCTAAACAGTTGCGCACAGTATTGACGTATGCGGCTATCCGTTGGCCGAGTAGTTCGCTCGTACGCCGGGCGTCGACCGCCGACTGCCAATAACGTCGGTACTGAAAAGTATGCACCTCGCGGTATAGCGCCAGATACAGGTCCCGTCGGGGCTCCGGATCAAGCATGCTCGGCTTGAAGCCATACTCCGTCACCCACAGCCGTATGAGCGCCTGATTCTGAGCGGACATGTCGTCCGTGTGTCGGGCCCTACCGAGTGCTCGCCCTATAGGAACCATGTCTTCATACTCCAATTGGTCGGCCGTCCAGGGTATGAGACCCTTACGGGCGCACAGCTCTTCGTACGTGAGCAGCTCCTGTACCTTCTCGTCCGATGATGACCTGGTGGTGGCGACGGTGATTGTGGTGGTAATGCTGGGTCTCGGCGACGGTTCACGGGTTGCGGCAGCGGTCGTATTACCAATTTGTAGCGATTGTCCGCTAGTGGTGGGCGCGCCCTCACCAGTAGGTTTCTTCTGGCCAACGGCTTTCGTCGGTGCCTCAAACCCCTTGTCGTTGTTGTCGTCGTCACTACTGCTGTCACTTTGAATGGGTTTAGTCTGTTTTGGCGAAACCCCACCGCCCGGTCCGGTGGCCTTTCTTTTACCGTCGCCGCGGGATAGAGGGGTCGGTTTAGTTGCCGGTGCCGTCTGCTCGGCGGCGTCTAATGTGTCGGTCACGAGCGTCACTAGACAGTCGAGACTAGGGTGACCAACCGTCCCGGTTTGGCCGGGACAGTCCCTGTTTTGACCATTTTGTCCCGGCGGGGTTTTTACAGATACCATTGAGCGTCCCG